AATATATAAAATATTATCATAATTAATAAGTAAAAAAAATAAATGTAAACATGAAAAAGTCTTGCAGACATTATTTTATAAGAGCTTTCTTCAGGCTGATCACTCTGTTGTTTGCATTTCCACACTTCAGCCAGCTGTTGCTCTTCAGTACACGAGTGACTCTCTTTTTAGCAGCGTTGAATTCATACTGACGGTGACCATCAAAGAAATACAGAAGTCCTAAAAAGGAAAAAAAATAATGTTTATTTGTATTTTGTAAAATAATTTCTGAAAATGAATTAATTTTGTATTGGCTGCTTGGAGTTAATCAGTTTATCATTTTGTGTCAGTCCAGGCTTGGAGTTTACACAGGGCTGAGAACTCTCTCTCAGACGCATGTAATTGCACTGAACTAACCAACATGTGCTAGTGTTAATACACGGAAGAAAGTGGATGAGTAATATGCCCCTATACACAATATGCCCCATGCCCATACTCATGGCAAAAGGTAGGGGGTGGGGGTTGTAGTTCTAACACACTTTCTGTCCTAGGGTGAGAAAGCTGCTTGATCATAGATACACTTGAACAGTGAGTTGTCAGTACAGGAGATGTATTACTGGCAAGATCACCAGGTGACAATAAAGCCTGATATAAGAAAACAAATGCAGCCACCACATCTAAGGCAGCCACCACATCTAAGGACTGGTAATTTACAATATATTATATATTTTTTCTTGCGTTTGGGTATACTTTAAATGGAACCTGCTGCTTTCCCCTGAATGGCTAAAGCATGGGTTCACTTTAAGGTACCCTACTCAAGACCCTTGTTTTTTCTTAGGGAAACTTAATTACACTCAATGGCATCTTATGATTTCTTCCTGAGTGACTGCTTTTTACTATGAGCTACTTTAACACACCGACAAGTAAACATCCCTAAAACATTACTATCTTTGATCATTTTGTCTTCCTGATGAATGGTTTCGGAAGATACATTTTTTTTTTGTTGCTCTGACGGGGTCCCTAATTTCAATACATAGTTCCACCTAATTTACTCACCATTCTTTTGGAAAGCAGCATGAACTTTGCTTCCAACACCAGGTAAGCCATCAATTATTTTCTTAGGAGTTACAGAATCCATTGCTTGCTTTTTTTCATCAAAACTGCAAAAGATAAGAACCAGCCAGGTTAAAAAAAAAACATTTTCCAAGAATTTTATGAATCTGAGACTTAATAATGAAAACTATAATATTGTTAATAAAATTATTTAAACTCCTAAATTAGGTCCACAATGAGGACTAAATACGGTAAATAAAACAATTATAATGAATAAACAAATACAGTAAACTTCCTGTTATTTGGTATTCAACTAACCAGAAGAAAAAAAAATCCCCTGTGTACTCACTGTTCTGCTGATCTGCGGCATGTATTATTCTGGAAACAATCATGTGCCTATTTGTCTTATTTGCTTTTGGTTACTGCATTTCAATATTAATATGAAGTCAATACAGAGTTTATGGTATAGTATGGCATATGGCGTTACATAGTTATATACTATTTGGGGTTGAATAAAGACATACGTCCATCAAGTCCAACCCATATAGGTCCACGCATCATCTCATTCTTAGGGATACTGGTATCCCTGGATATTACGGTCCCTCAAGAAATTGTCCAAACGTTTCTTGAACAAATCTACACTCTTGGCTGAAATCACTGCCGATGGCAGTGAGTTCCAGACCTTAACCGCTCTTACTGTAAAGAACCCTCTTCGCCCATTGTGCTGGAATTTTTTCTCCACCAACTTTAGGTGTTGGCCTCTAGTTGTTGTAATGGAGTTAACCTCAAACAGTTTATTGCCAATGTTGCTGTCACCATTGAACATCTTGTACATGAAAATTATATCCCCCCTTAATCTCCTTAATTCCAGCGTAAACATGTTTAAGGTCAGAAGCCTTGTCTCATACCTCTGGTCCTCCATTCCCCTAATTAGTTTTGTTGCCCTCCGCTGGACTCTCTCCAGTTCAAGGACATCCCTTCTCAGTACCGGCGACCAAAACTGGACCGCGTACTCCAGATGTGGCCAAGATGTGGCCAAACCAACCATTTATATAGAGGCACAATTATAGACTTGTCCCTGCAATACATCCCCTTCTTAACACAGGACAAGACCCTGCTAGCTTTGTTTACCTCACATGTTACATATCGCCGCGAACGTCGCAGTGAGAGCAATCATTTTAGGGCCATCAATCACTGATAACACTAAACTGATGAGCGGTAACAGCTTTTAAAGCGTCGCCTATGACCAATTTTGGGTATTATCGTTTTTTGAGGTTTTGCGCGCGCACGCAATTTTAAGGCTTGACATGTTTGGTGTCTTTTTACCCGACGTGAACCTGTCTTTTATATTTTACCAAAAAATTGGGTAATAATAAATGAGATTTGTAGTTTCACCAAAGCTGTAGTGCTAGGGTTGCCTACCCCTGCTATATACTTATACAGGGTCACTTTAAATAGAATTCTGTACCCTTGAAGATCATCAAAGATCACAACAAAGACTCTAGAGCTGGGTTTGCCCCATTAAGCATAATCATTTTCAGGTGATTATGAAGTATGTTCTTTTGCACACTTTTTAGGCATTTTTAAGGCTTGAGCTATTTACTAGGTGAAGGAGATAGTTGTAAAGTGCAAAATCACACACAAAATGCATGTTTTGCATGTGCTCCCTTTAAAGTGCACACTTCTGCCCCTAGAAACTAGTACTTTTTCAGGCTACAAGTGACACACAATTCTGAGTCGTGAATGGGCACCACGCACATTGTTGCACTTCAGGAAATACATAACAAAACACTCAGGTGCGAATGGGGGCTTTCAGTCAGTTTCCAACAACTAAGAAACACCCCCTAGTTGTTTACATTAGAGGACTGTCAGGCTGCAAACATCTGCTCTGTATAGAAAAACAAAGCGCCTGTGTTGTGAACTTTAATTTCTTCAAAATGCTTATAGATACAGAGGTAATTGGGGACTTGTTTTAAAGTACTTAGGGTTAGGGTTCTTTTGAATATGTAAATACTTTAGATGTACATGATCTGGGCCAGGTTAACTTTAAATACTATAGCATTTAATTTGATTCGTATCAAGCAATGCCAATAAAATGCTCTTACCTCCAGAATTTGTCACCTACGAAGAAGTAGGTCTTTCCTGTGTTTTCATCATGGACTGCAGCATCAACTCTTCTAACAGTGCGGGGAAAGCCCAAGTCATAAATGCTTTTGGGTGAATCCTTTGTGACTTCATAACCATTGATAACCCAGTATTTAGCACCTAAATAATAAAATAATACCGAATTGATTAAAACATAACTCATTTATGATTAACAACTGCTTTCTAAAATGCACTAATCTGGGGCACAAGAAGAAGGTATGTAGAAACAACTCAGATGAGTTGTACCATTTCTGTGAAATTCCAGACAAATAAGATGTACACACCTTTGAAGACGAGAACCTGATCCTTGTCTTGATATTCGTAAGCAGCCTGAATGTGATTTGGAAGGGCATCCCAGAAGGTTTTGATTAAATGATGCTCAGCTTGTGACTCCTGAGAAATCTGACGCCAGAAGGTTCTGGGAAATACAAAATGATTAAATTATTTTCATTGTAATTATTTAGAGACTATTGCATGAACATAATCTTGCTACATCTTTCTTAATTCCTCTCTATTCTTTTTAGAAATATTGTTTCCTAAGGCCATCAGTAGGCAAAATGCCATTGCTTCTTCTTTTCAAACTCAATAAACTCATAACGTTTTTTAACGCTTACTTGTTGGTGAAGAATAAGATCTCTCCCCGCAAAGTTGTCACAGCATCAAAAGTGATTGGCTGGCAGGAAGAGGGAGTGCTTGGCTGTTCTGGAACCATTGGAACTTCTGGGACTTCTCTGGCTCCTGCAAATGAAGTAACAATACTACATGTTATGATACAGCAACCTTCTCTATGAAATATGAATTATCTGAGTCACCCATTTACTTCCTAATAGAATCTGCTATTGATTTTCCTCTACTTACCATAGAGTGACTGGATTCCTCTAACATCATCGTCAGGCAGATGGAATTCACTGGGTTCAATGAAGTGGTAAGTTGGGTACATAAGGGCGCTGGGGTCGCTAGAGTGAAAGAGACCCAGGGAATGGCCGAATTCATGAGCAGCCACAAGGAATAAGTTGTAACCTTGAAAGAAACGAAAAATAAGAAAATTAGAATGGGCAATGCATGTACTTTATCTGTAACATACCTAAGCAGTGGGCACCATCCTGGAATGTTAGTGTACTCTTACTGAAGCAAATAATGTACTCAATAAATAGCTATAACCTTGCAGTGATTGTACATATTTTGTATATTGCTGAACAGATATTTCATATACATGCTTTGCATTCTTTTTTCTAGTGTTTCATGTTTCCTAAATTGGAACTGAAGAAGTGAAGATTTACTATGTTATAAAGAACATTTAGGGGTCTATTCACTAAGCTGCCGAGGGCAGTCGAGTGAAAGACCGATCTGAAGTGAAGTGAGCCGAACATTGTTCGGCTATTCACTTCAGGCTGGTACGGCTGATTTCAGCCGTACATCGGCTGAAATCAGCCGTACATCGGCTTGCTTCGAGTGGCTTCGGGTCGGCCGAACATGCTCAGCATGCTCAGCCGACCCGAAGTGCAGGAGTTCGACTCAGCCGATCCAACATCTGGATCGGCTGAGCCGAACCTTCGGTAGGCTTCTCACTGCTGTTCGGGCTATTCTTAAAGATGCCGAACAGCAGTGAGTGAATAGCCGGATGCGGCTGAGCGGCATTCGGCTCGGCTGTTCTGCTCGGTCCCTCACAGGGACCGAGCAGAACAGAAAAAAAAGCTAAACAAAAAGTGTATTTTAAATAACTTTTAAACACAGAATATATAATGGGTGAGAAGGAATAATTAAGAACTGTTACTAATGCACAGAAATAATAGCCAATTTTAGATTTCACTGTCATGTGTTTGTGGAAAAAAAATATAACTCACCTCTGGATCCGCTAGTCCATGTTTCATCCTCATCAAAGTGAGCATCTCCTCCAATTCCATTATTGGGGGCAAAAGCATGTGCCAGAGTCCCATGTGGGCCATCAAATGGGTAGAAGTCATTGTGCACTGTAAGAAAATAATAGAAAAATGTATCTCTCTATATATAAAGGTTTACAATCTGATATGTTATGACACTGACTTATGAATATACCTTGTGCTGCAAATGAGATCTCAATATCGGCGACACTGTTGTAAATTCGGGTAAAGGTCAGGGGGGTCACATCACTCCAAACCTGGAAGGCTCTCTGAATAGCTGCATCCACTTCAGCAGCGGCCATGTCTGGTGTGTAGTTCACTATCCTAAATAAAAAAAATCAAATGCTTCTATTATTTCCAATTCCTTTTTGAAGGGGTATTAACATAGAACCACCCATTTATATATTGAATGTGTTAGTTACTATCAGAATCGTATGTATATCTTTAGAGCATCCAGGAAGATCAGTCAATTGTTTTGTATCATCTGTATCATGTATCATTCTTATACATTTGCCATCCAAACCACATTGGTGTTCCCAATGGAAGATTACCCTCTATTCCTGTTGAGATGACAATTCTAAAATATTTATTTTCCATCACTTCCATTACTGGAGACAATAATTATCAAGAAAAATCAATGTGATAGCAATGAAAACATGACGGGTACCCTATCCCTCTACTCCAAAATTAAAAAAAGTTTTGGTGAGATACAATTATTAATTACATTTTGCTTAGTTATTATTCATAGCCAAAAAGTACCACCTCCAGGACCTTGAGCCATTATGCCCGTTAATAGAAGAACTTGTATTATTATTTTCACCAGTCACAATTTACCTCTCTACTATACCATGGCATTAGCCTCCTAAATCCTACATGTATTTTAATGTGTAGAAAGCCGACAAAAGAGAAACATTTGTACCTGTATGTCAGTTCACTCTTCCTCCATCCGGAGTTTCCTGGGAATATGCTGTATTCACCCACATCGACAAACCCACACCTGGGCTGGTGCATCATTTCCATAGTGTCCGAGTCAAGTCTTCCTGTCACCTCCAAACCAAAGAAATCCTGCATCTGGCGAATCTTCTCTGAAATCTGACTTCCAGATTTCTTCCTGCCCTGGCGCACCCCATCAGTCTTCAGGTTGTAGTAGTTTTTCAAGTACTCCTGAAGAGATTTAAAAAAAAATGAAATATCTGTTAATTTGATACTGAATCTCTTGTTATCAAGATGTTCTGGAGGGGATAAAACAGAAAAATATATATTCAGATGATTAATGGTGTTGCAAATTCCTAAAAGTTATATGTTCACGTGGTGTAACCCACCCAAATATTAACAGGGTTACTGGAAACATCAGAGATCTAAGAACATAAGTAAAAATATTTAAAGCATCGCTTTAAATCAGGGGTCCTCAAACTACGGCCCGCAGGCCACATCTGCCCCCCCAGGGCCCTTGGGCCAGCCCGTTTGGGTGTTAAGACCCGGGAGCTGCAGGCCCCTATCTTTACTACCTCCCGGTCGTACCTCCCGGCCGGCCGGGAGCTCCTTAGATAAGCCACACCACTTGTGCGCGCCGCAAGCGGGAAATCCAGTCCATTTAAAAACAGGCAGCGATGCCTGTTAACGTACAAGCGATCTGCCAGCTATAGAGCCGGAGGATTGCTTGTATGGGCGGTCGGCCCGTGTCCCCCCCCCTCCCATTGTCACGCATTGTCAAGACCTCCCTCCGGTCCCCTCTCCGCTGTCAGAATGCGAAAGTGGTGTATTTTACATTACTTCCGCATTCTTGTGTCACTCTCCAGCTCCAGACGCTGGAGAGAAGCTGATGAAGCAGATCTCTGCTTCATCAGCTTCTTCGGGGGTCCTAGGTGACATTAGGGGTCTTGGAGACCCCTGATGTCTCCATAAAGAGGACCTGTCACATCTTTTGCTATCACATAGTGGGGTTTCTTAGCCCCCTATGTAATAGCAATACAGTTAAGTGGGAAAAAAATAGGAAACAAAATTAAAGATTATGTTTTTTTTTAAAGTTACACATAAAAAAGAATAAAAAAACGAAACAATTTTAAAAATTCCCCACCCATACATACACGCATGCAAACATGCGTCGGGTGCGCATACCTGTGAAAATGACGATTGCGCCCATTACGACGCACATGTTATATATCGACGCGAACGTCGCAGTGTGAGCAATAATTCTAGGGCCATCAACCACTGATAACACTAAACTGATGAACTATAAAAGTTTTTAAAGCGTCGCCTATGGTCAATTTTGGGTGTGGTGTTTTTTTGCGAGTGCGCGCAATTTTTAAGCTTGACATGTTTGGTGTCTATTTACCCGACGTGACCCCGTCTTTTATGTTTTACCAAAAAATTGGGTGATAATGTTTCCTAACACAATGTAAAAAAAAATAAACAATTTTGAAAATTTGCTGTAATTTTACGAAATATAGTAAAAAAAATAAAAACCGCAGTGGTGATTAAACACCACCAAAAGAAAGCTCTATCTGTCCCCAAAAAAATGGTATCAGTTAAAATAGGCCCAGCCACCCTAAACAACATATAGCAATCAATCATCCGCCCGCCCGCGGGGTCCAGGGAGAGATCGTCATTCCGCTGGCCCCGTCTGTATGTCAGTGAAGACACACAGGCTGTTCCCGGAAGCTTGGCAGCTTCTGTGTTCGGCCTGCGCGGCTGCCACCCTTTCATCTAAGGGCGCATGCCGAGGAAAACCAAATGCCTTGGTTCCTTTAGCAGCGTAACGCCAGTGCGGCTGCGCCCCTCCAACTTTGGGTGCACGCCAGCGCAGGCTCTTGTAGGGCGGCCAATAAGAAGATAACTGGGATATGAAGGGATGCCATCTCCCTGCCTCTCCCAAAGCTGCACGCCGCTGTAGAGAGGTAAGACAGGGCAGTCTACATGCCCAATTATTGTAATAAAAAACAAATACTTGAGCTGTAGAAAATAATAACAAATCATGCTAGCACATGTTCCAGGCTAAGAGAAATGAATTGTAAAAAATGTTTTGTTTATTAAAGAAGTTGTTAAAAATATTTATATATATAGCCTCTAAGTAAGGGCTTATTCACACCAGAGCAGCAGCTGCTGGAACGCACAGCAATTGCTCACTAACGTTCTCCCTTTGTTCTGGGACGGGAGGGGGCGTAATGGTGCGGCACCACAGCCACGCCCCCCCTGTTTTTCAAACTATGATCCGGCCCCCAGCAATGTCTGAGGGACAGTGACCTGGCCCCATGTTTAAAAAGTTTGAGGACCCCTGCTTTAAATCAAGTATAAAATTATTTCTTCTAAAACTGGGATAGCGATGTTAATTATTTTTATTTCTGCCAGTGTCCCATTTGGGGAGAATAATCTGCCAAGGCTTATAACCCTTCCTGATTCTACAACTTAAAAAAAAGAGTTTTGGCTGGAGGTCTGCTCGATTGAATTAGGTAAATAATATATCAAATCAATTACAGCGTTAAAGATGAATCCATTATTGTGCATAATAGTGGAGATATGTCTTAATTCAATTCAGTGTATATCCTTGTTTTTAATCACTATAGTTTATTTTATTATTATAATGATCTTGATTAAATACGTTAAGTCTCTGGTGGCTCTCTGTGCCTCTCTGAGTAACTTAAGAAATAAAAAAAGTTTTCAACCAGATAGACTTTTACTAAGGGAAGGGTACAGTAAGCTGCAACCACCATACATTAATACATCACACATAATTAATACATTACTACTTAGAGAAAGGCACATACTGCATTAAAAATAGTTATTAAAAATTATATATATATATATATGTATATACACACACATACACTTTCCCTTGAATATACTCACTTCAGCAAACTT